AATCTATGGAAAAATTTTAAAACCTAACAAACCCCCGTAAAATAATTATTTAAGTTAAAAATCTTAAACTAAAAGAAAGTATTTTTGTTCAATTTTATCGACAACTTTGCTATTGCTGAATAATTTTATTAAAATGTTAGCTTAAAAAGATTTAAACTTTTTTTTTATCTGAATTTTTTCTACTTGTAAATAATGAGCATATTTAATTTTTTTGTAATTCAAACTTTTATATCAACCACGTGCGGTTTTTAAAATACTTTATTAAATGTTAAAATAATCGTAAATTACTTCATTAAAATTCCGCTCAAAAATATACTCAAACAAGAAAATTTTTGCTTGACGCAAATAGCCCTAGCTACACGCAAAATCGCTCTTGAACGACGTAAAATTCACATCGCCCGACGCTTTATTGCAAGGCCTGTGTTAATTAAACTCTCAAAACGTTAAATAATGCAAAACATTTTTTTTAACAAAATTTTAATAAGCATAATAATCATTTAATAACAATAAATATAGCACAAAAATTATATATGGCAATAGTCAAGGTTAAAAATATCTGAAATATTTTATTTATATTTTTAATGTGAACACTGCGAAATTTTAAAATAAAATAGCTAAAGAAATTCTATAGTAATTGATGAAAAAAAAAACACTTTTATTTAATAATAAGCTTAACAAATTTTTTAGTAATCTATCATTTTAAAAAAAAAATCTATAATTTGATGAAAAAAAGAATTTTTAGATTTCTTAATGAAATTCTAAGACATTTCATACTAAAAACTCTTTGGAATTAAATGCAAATAAATTAGTTGAATAAATTATAAAGTCTGTAGATTGTGGCATATATTTTAAAACAACTGGCTAACGTGGAGACAGCGAACATCAAGTGAAACAACAAAGTTTTTCTTGGTATACATTTATTATTTTGTTTTACTCAAAAAAATTCAGCTCAAACATTTTTTTCAATCATTCTTTTTAACATGAACTAGGCATCTGCGTCTCAAAAATGTACAAGAGGAAATGATAAAAAAAATGTTATTTTGATAAAAAATACAAAACAAAACAATTTTTATAAAAATTTCGCAAAAAACAGTCCAAAATGAAACAAAGTTTTCTTGTTTCATGAAAAATATGGTATAAATCAAAGCAATAATTTCTTGTTTTGTAAAAACTGGTATGAAAAGAAATAAGCTTTAACTTTTTCTGAAATGAAACAGCGAAAAACGAGATAGACAAATTTTTTAGTTTTATGAGAAATATTAATATTTTTATGACAACTAGGGTTAGCATAAAATAAAAAAGTAATTTACTTTTATATTGTACCAATTTACTTAGACCTTTTCGATTTTTGCAAGAAATTAATTTTATTTAGACTTACTAATTTTATACTGAATTCTTTCTTCTAAATTAATGTTAATATATTATAAATATATTTCATGATAAAATTAAAATTTCATAATAAATTTTTAAATTTTTTGTGGAATAAAAATTCATTTTTTATATCAATATTTATTTATTAGTTTTAATAAAAAATAATGTTTTAATCAGTCAAAATCTGAACCAATGTCAGTTGTCTGTAATTATGATTATTTAACTTTGCTCTTGGAAAACTTTCCCATTTTGATTGGAGTACCTGACAGTCCTGGTGTTAGTATGAGCTGAGTGTCACTTTCAGATAATTCTTCCAGAGTTTTCAGATTCTTCAGCGCCAACATCTTCAAGAATCAAAAGAAAAACTTCGTTTTTCTTTTGATTCTTGAAGATGTTGGCGCTGAAGGTAATGAAGAATAGCATGATGACGTTGATGAAACATGTATTAATTTGAACAATAAATTTTTTTGCTTTGTTGAAGAATATGCTTTTGGGATTAGGATTATTGCTAGGGGGATCTAGGACTTCACATCATTTATAATTTTCAAGGTCATGTGAGGACAGACAAGATCAGTATTGACTTTAATCAAAGTCAACTGCTTTGCTGTCTGAGAGGGAAGATTCTTTTATCACTAATAGTTCCGCCGATGCCGCTGAATATTCTCTCACTACAGCTTGATGCAGTTGGAATGCACTTTTCTGTGCTAATAATAGCAAAGTAGTTCTACCTTTATGTAATAGAATTTGAAATATTTCATTCAAACAAAGATTGCAAACTCTTGATGCAAGTTTAATTAACAAATATAATTTTGAACGCTAAATTAACAAATATAATTTTGAACTTTAATTAAAAATAAACAAACCATAAACTAAAAAGAGAAACTAAAAAAAAATACATAACTAAACTAAAAAACATTAAAATTTTAACTAATGATAAAATAAATAAAAGATAAACCAGAAAAAGTTAAAGCATAAAGTTCTATTTTAATTTAAAATTGTTTCATGAAGTTTAGTAAAGGTTGAAGTTTCAAAGTAATTTGAAATATATTCTAACCACGCAGTTTGAAATATATTCTCACTATTTTAATATAATGCATAGAATATATTGCAAAATAAAATGAGATTCTTTTTTCTTTTTTTTTTTGGAGAGACTTGTTTACACATTTAAATTCAATTCAAATGTGTATACAAGTCGAATTGAATTCAAAGGCAATTCAGAAAAGTAAAATTTTTCTGCAATGCCATTGAATTCATTTCTTGTAAAAAAAAAAATTTCTTGTAGTTACAATCATTTTTTTTAAACATTACAAAAACAATCATTATTTTTTTTTTAGAACACAAATTTAAATATAATATAACTCGCCTTAGTATTTTACGTTTTACCTAATAAAAATGTTAATAATTAACCAAAATATTACATTTAAAATGTTACATTTATAATAAAATTACGCCTTTAACGCCAACATTGATTCGCTGCTGATTTTCATTTACTTGCTTTATTCGCTTACTAATATAAAGAGTATTATTTAATAAACAAGCGATAACTATAGCATTTAATAAACAATTTTTTATCACAAAACAGCAAGACAATAAGTAATAAAGAATTATTTTATTTTAATTTTTTAGGTGCTTTTTTGGCTCAAATTTGGGTCCCATACCGGTATACTGGTATCAAAATCTGCCTGGATATGTGGCTGATGGCTTGTGGTCCAGACAACGTCTACTGCTGAAAAATGGCATCTGTTATTCCAATTTTCAAAAACTCTAGAAAACATTCTGACCACTCCAGTTATCGTCTGATCAGTCTTTTTTCTGTTATTAGCAAGATCTTTGAATTTTTGGTCAATAAATATTATACATCTGGAGTCAGTGAGTCAGGAGGTCGTGAGGCTATGGCTATTGTTCTTAACTTATCTAAAGCTTTTGACAAAGTTAGGCATGCTGGTTTTCTTTATATGCTTGTTTTATATGGTGTACCTGGGAACAGCCGACACTCTTCTTCAATTCCAGTAATTTCTGGGGTATCTCAAGGTTCTAACTTTAGTCCTGTTTTGATTTTTATATACATTAATGATCTTCCTGACAACCTTATATATAAAGTAGCTCTTTTTCCTGATGAAATTTTAACAAAAATATCAAAAAGCCATAGAATAAAATATAAATGATAATATAAAATAATAAAAATTATTATATTTTAATAGAAAACCACAAAATATTCAGCTACACAACCAATGTGATAAATGCTGCTAAATAAAACTTTATTATAAACGCAACAAGTCGCTAAAATTGGTACTTGTTAGATAAATAAACCCAAACTAAGAGATAGATATAGAAACATGAAATTATAATAACAACAAAACCATACAAAGTTTAATGCCGTCATAGATATCTAGATCAAATGTTGCTAACCAATCAAAAAAAATAGATTTTGAATAAAATGAAGCAACAATGACAAAAACAGTAAACAAAACCACTACAACATAAAATATTACATAGGGTGGGAAAAAAATGTATAGATAAGTATAAAAATTAATAACCTATAATTAACAACCTAAAAACATACTCATCTATATGCATACATACATAATCATACATACACACATACCAATAGTTGTCAAAGTGTTTATTGAATGAAGCAGTTCAATAGAGTCAAGTATTACTAGAAACTAGTGTAAAAAATTTATCCCTGAACCATATCTAGCTAACCCAACCATACTTAAAATTACCTATGATGGATTTAACACGTGGGATTTATATTATCTTCTGGTTCTAAATGCTATACATGGGATTTATATTATCTTCTGGTTCTAAATGCTAGCTCAGAAACAAACACTTCTTTCCATGAATTATGTAATTGTAATTATGTATTTAACCTTAGTTCTGTTAGATGAGATCGAACAAAGGCATTTGATTAAGACAATTCAAAAAAGGTTTTGCCACAAGATGTTGGAGACTATTTAGCCATGAGGGTGTTTTGATGTTTTGCATATGTATGTACTGTGAAAAAATGTCCTCAAAATGACAAAACTAACTCTCTGCTAATAGTGGTTATTTTGACCTTAAACAAGTTTTTATCCTTATGGGTGTGTCTGATGTATTAAAATGGACATTGAAAATAAACTTATATGCCAATGACACTTCGCTATTACATAACTAATATGTACATTACTTATCCTAACCCTCAGAATTAGGGTTGGCATTTAGTGATGCTGACCTAACTGCTGACCTAGAAGTGTTTTAGGTCAGCAAAATATCTCCAACCTCATATATTTTATGGGGAAACCTTTGTACCAAATTTTTTGTTTGCAAATTAGTAATTTGCATAATCTACAATTTCTACATGCTAAATCATATTTATTATAGAATTATAAAAACTTTTGCAGGTTTTTGTAAATCATAAAATAACTAATAATCACTTTACATTTTATAGAATAAATCCTAATATTTTCAAAAATCTGATTTTGTTGTTTGATTTTCAAAATTTTATGAGCTTTTGTTATAATTAATAATTATTGTTGAAATTTTTTAATTAGTTTTTGTTTTTTTATTTTAATTCAATTTAAAAAAAATGATTAAATGTTGTTAAAGAAAGTTTTTAAATAAGAAATCTTGAAATTTTAAAATTTTAGTTAATACTGCATTTCTCGATGGTTATTACAAAAATGTGACAGAAGTTGTTTCTGATCTAAGATTGATAATTGAAAATGTTTATCGAATAAATGGTTTTAATCATTATTTGAGTAAGCACGCACGAACATTAGAAACAGTTTTAGAACAGAAATTAGCACTACTTCCAAGGTACTTTTATGTATGTTTTTTATTGTTTAATTTTTAGTGTTTTTATTTTCATACTCTGATTATTAATTTTTTCATTATATAAAAATTCTTAAACGTTTTAAGTTTCTTAATTCTTTGTCTTAATGAGGGGGCTGCTATAAAACTCAGTTGATTGGTTCTGAGATCTGCTGGTAAAAATTCTTCTCAAACTATGAGCTCTCATCAAAAGTTATAAAATATCTTTTTTTATAACTTTGATTGATTAGCAGGACTCAACCTCATGCTTAGGAGTCAACTGCATATTACTTAGAGAGTATGTTTGATTTAAATTATGACCTGAAAATGTTTAACATAAAAATCAACATTACCATCAAATTAATTTTTTGTTTTACAATTTTTTTTTTATTTTTTGAGAAATTATATAACAGTGTCATTAGCAAAAAAGACTAACATTTCATCTTTTAAACATGCATCTGATCTTATTTCTCTCCAATAGATAGTGTAAAACTATTCCAAAAAAAAATTTCATCTCTTGGATCAAAGGACCACATTGTTTCTACCATCCCAGAAAAACAGGTTAATCCATGTTTGACAACCAGATCCTTTTTTCTTCTGTTTTTAAAATTATTTTTTCCTTTAACTCTTTTATCATAGAAATGTAACAGTGTAATACTAAATATATATAATTCAATTTTTAACAAACTTTTTACAGGCAAATACGTGACTTATGTTCACTGGAGTCAACAAATATACTTCAAAATAGAGAGCATCTTAACCAAGGAATAAGTAACTATTTATTTATTTAGATAAACAAGTGTTATAACCAAAAAAAGTTATCAGTATTTATCATTTGTAAATTTCTTAAGTTTAATCTAATTATTATATAATGAATAATATTTGTTGTATTATAAGTACAATTTATTTCTCTTTTATATTTTATATAATTCTTCATTATAATTGTTATCTGTTTTTTTTTATAGTAATGACAAATCATTAGTTTTATATATTTTGAAATATTGCCCTTATATATATATATATTTTAATATTGTGTTTATATTTTTTTAAATATTAATATTACATTTTTTTTGTAATAGTGATTTTATATTTTTTATTAAAATTTTTCATATAGTTGCTTTCTATTTTAGTTAGAGTCATTATATTTTTTAATTTTGTTATAATTGTGTATCATAGTCTTTATATATATATTATATATATATATATATATATATATATATATATATATATATATATATATATATAATATTACTTCTTTGTTTTTTATTTATAGCTACTATATTTCTTTGTTATGGTCACTATAATTTGTTATAGTTTTCATAATTCTTTGATAAAGTTCTTTTCTTCATAACAGTTTTATGTGTAGTTAGAAAACAAATTTCAGTTAACCATTTATAAAATAGTTTAGAAAGTGTTAAAAAGAAGTCTGGAGAACATTTTATTAAGACCAGAAGTCTGGACACAAGATGTTGAAGAGGGAAATAACATATCTATATTTAAATAACAGAAGCTCTTATTTAAATATAGAAAAGATAAAGTGATTTTAAATGTCTAATATTGGGTTAACTTGTTTCTCTGGGATGATAGGAAGTGTGTGATTATTTGTTTCTCTGGGATGATAGGAAGTGTGTGATTATTTGTTTCTCTGGGATGATAGGAAATGATTATTAGATTCAAGAGATTACCTCCAGAAAATATCTTTTGTAAATAGTTCGACTTTATCCTTGGAAGTGATAATAAAGTGTTATATTAGAGAAAACATTGTCTTTATTAATGACACTCTTAAAGATTTTCTAAAAGTCTTTAAAACCTTCGAAAGATACAAGTTGATCAAAAATAACATCGTTTACATACTTATCAAATAGTTTTCAGAAGTATTTTGTTTAAGATTAAGTGATGAGGTGCTAAACAGAGGTCGATTAAATAACTGTCTGAGGACTCCTGATTTTATAACAAATAGGTAAATTGATACATAAGTATATGCTCAGACCAAACATGTGTTGAAGTTTTTGGAAATCAAAGAACAATAGTCATCAATTCTGAGATTTAAAAATGAAATAGCTGAATTCAACTTGGTCTTACAAAGTGCTAGTAAGTCTGGTAATTTTGCAAGTGGTAAGGTTCAACTGATAAAAAGACCACAAATATTTGTAAAAAATAGATTGAAACGTTTACAAGTCTTGATTTTAGTTATTAAAGTACTTGACTTGATCATAGAGAGAAAAGGGTACCCCTAGCAATAAGCACCCCAAACAATGAGCTATGCAGTTGCCTGAGTCTCTCTAATTAAGTCATAACAAAAAGCTCCTACCATCAATGGTTCATACCAAATGCACTGTTAATGTTTATTTTACATATTTGATGCAATCACCTCTTTAAGTGCTACTACAGAGTTTGGGAAGCCTTGTTACTAGCTGGCTTTAGAAGCCTTGTTACTAGCTGGCTTTAGAAGCCTTGTTACTAGCTGGCTTTAGAACTGAATGTTAAAGCTTTACCCTCATTAAATAATAACAGGAAAAGATCAATTACCACTAACAAAGAGGTACTAGTCAAAATTTATGATACAGTGGTCCAGTGTGTTCCAGTATTTGTTATCTTATGATAGAGCGGTCCAGCATTTGTTATTTTAAACAGAAAAAGTGTAACAAAGGTTTACATCCACTCCAGCCTAATAGATAAAAAAAATTTCTGATTTATATTGTTACCATTATAATCAATTCAAAAGTCCAAATATTTTCAGCCCGAAAAATCATTTATACAATATACAGAAGAATACATCAGTACAAAACGCAATTAAACTTAATAGTTCATTTGACATTTATTAAGTTATATATAGCTTATTATATGAAAATCCATAGAAATTTTGAATGTATTTTCTGTAAAAGTTCATTTTAATAATAATAAATAACAATAATAAAGTACTTATATTTGATATCTTAATGCTTTTTTAGATGGATCTCGTAGAAGATCTAAACCAACAAAGACCTTAGAAACACCAATAATGTTACAACTTCGGATGGAATATGATGCAATAGATAAGCAACAAAAAAAATTTCGAGAGGAACAAAGAAAAGAAAGAGATGAAGAAAAGCGTATCTGTAATGAAAAACTTTTAGAACAACTAGTCATATTTGAAGAAGAAATTGTAACAATGGAAATGTTACAAGACATAAAGTTTTGCTGGCAGGTTTCTATTTTTTTTTTTTTTTTAATAATATCACTTTTATAGATAGCATTTTATAATTTTTATTGGACTTTTCTTTTCCTTTAAACAAAACAAAAAAGGTTTTTTAATTATTTAGATAAGTGTGTACAAAAAGCTCATTGTGGTATTATTTTAGTGATCACTGTAACTTAGCAATAATGAGTCAAAAAAAGTATTATTTGCAATTATTTTTTTTAAATTAAGTTTTAGATTATATACACCATAACTTCGAATAATATGGGGTGCGTAATAAAAGATGATTTAAATAGAACAGAAAAACAAATTTTTTATTACAAATTTATTATCAAAATAAAAATTGTTTACTACCATGTCTAAAGTAATTTTTTTTGAAAAGGCCACCTTTCCTAATTTTCTTAGTTCAATCTCTGAATTCATGGCACATCTTCTAGATGTGATTGCTCAAAATACGATCCCAGGCTTGCACAAGGCCTTGAGAGCCCCAGTATTTGGGTGGGATCTGACTGAAGTTTAGCCCACACTAAATAAAAAGGGAAAAGTTGGGAAACGTTAACATCTGAAGAGTCAGGAGGCTACCATTTTTTGGCAATTTGACTTATTTTTTTCAAGCAGGCCTGTGTCTTTTTAATAGTTTGGCAGGATGTTTCATTTTGGGTGAACACAATTTTTTTGTCATAGGTTACTTCTATTCAAGTCTTGACATGACTGTCCGATGTTAATACAGGCATTAGTGCCTGAAATGTTCAGGAAGTTACATTTATCATTAACACAGCTGTTTCTGCAGCGTTATTGTTAAATGCAATGTTTCTGAGTGTATTGGGTTCCTGGTCAGCTAGGACTTGACAGCCTTTACATCTTTAAGAATTTGTTTTGAATGTGGTCTTCCACTTCCCGTTTTCCGTTCAATATTTCCACACTCAATAAACCTTTTTGTTTACTCTAAGAACAGTGTTTCCAAGGGCCTCCGCTACCTCCTTGGGCACCATTTTGGCACACAAAAATTGATTAATCTGTTTGTTTTTGTTTTCTATTTTAAATTATGTTTAAAGTATCTTTTACACATTAAAAACATTTCATAGATACCTTAAACCCTACGTTAAATTTAAATTTATAGCAGTATTTTTTTTTTTTTTTTTTTCATGCATCATTTTTTATTACGCACTAGATAAAGACTAAAATAAACTCTTAATTTTTGTGTAATAAATTTTGTTTTTGACTTCAGCTTTGATCATTTAAAATGGAACATAATACATGATAAATATATAATTTATTTAGATATTAGCATTTTTATTTATAAAAAAATTAAAATTTATTATAAAATAAACATTTTTGTATGCTTGTAAACTTTTAATTATGTTTAGGATTTGTAAATGTTATGTAATTTTAAGTCGTTTAAATATCATATATGTTGTTTCTCCATGTAGATTCTCCCATGTAGTTAAATGAGTGTTTCGAGAAGGAATTTTAGGAATTGATAATAATATGTTGTTGTTTTTTTAATAAAGATTATATACAGTTAAAAAAACGACCATTTTCTTGGTAGTACTTGTTTAACCACTCCTTTTTCAAACCTTTTTTCAAACTTTGGAGGTTTCAAAAAGGGTTATAACAAAAATTGACTATAATAAATCTAAATAACTTGTGTATTCTTTGTGAATAAACTTTTGCTTCTTTTTTAAGAGAGATGCTAATCTAATCATGTCTAATATCTAAAAGAGTATTGTTAAAACCTTTGTGTTTTAGTTCATAGTCTTTACCTTTGAGAGGATGTGGTAAACTTTATCTTATCCTTTTTTTTTTTTTTTTTAATGAATTCACCCCAACAAAACTGCAGGCAACCACTATTTAAATTGTGAACAGAAAGCAAGAAGAGCGTTAATCAAAAAGCAGTTGAATGAAGAATTGAATCAAACTGTATGAGCTAGGAAAACTCTGAACTTGTTTCTCTGCACTGTGATGTTTGTCAAAGCTAATATTTTAGAGTTAAAGGGTTGATAAGCAGGTCCAGCAGCATTCACTTTTTTGTTCTTTTCTAAAGCAGAGAGGATTTTATTAGAAAAATATGACAATATTGAATTCATAGACAAAAAAGAGATTTATAGAAGTGAAAATTGGATTTAGAAACAAGATAGCAAGCACAATGATGAAAGGTAACCTTAACATTTTCTCACTTTACAATAAGTATATTTTGCTCCCATAAGAAGTTGTTAGTGAAATCAAAAAGAAAAAATGTTGCTATCAATGGGAGAGTATCAACAATTTTGTTCAAATTGTTTGCAGTAAATTGTTGTTTTGTTGTTCACTGTTAGATGTATATTTTGCAGACTCTAAAAAATCTGCATCTGAGTTTTCTTTTTCTTTTGCTACTTTAAGCTCAATTTTTCTTTTTCTTTATTATTTTTATCATTGCTTTTTTCCCAATTATTGTCTCTTTCAGAGATTTAGTTAATGCAGTACTTATACCTTGCTGTCTCTTTTTCCTTAAGTTTTTTCTGGAAGTTGTTTAAGGGTAGTCATGAATAATTTCCACTAAAACCTTTTTGACTAATGGATTCTGAAGAATCAGCCTGCTTATTTTCATGTAAATGTTGATTTTCTGGTTGTTAAATTCCTGATTGCTTGACTGGAAAATATCTGTAAATCACACTAGATAATATGAAATCATTTTTTTAAATATAATTCACTCCCAACAAGGCTGCAAGCAACCATTATAAGCAACTACAAGTTATAAATTTTCTAGAAAACAAAGAAAATAGTTAAAGAGCAAGAATATTTTCTCCAATTTCTTTGAATATTTATATTATAAATATATTGATATCATTTGAATATTTATATTATAAATATATTGATATCATGTTGAAACTAGCTGGAAACATTTAAAATGTATATCACATATTATATGCTGTATTTATTTATTTATTTATGCTCCTTGAGATTCAACGCCATGTTGAATCTATTATGAGCGATTGCTATTAACAGTTTTATAATAGTCATAGAAATCAGAGTTTCATAATAACCATATGTTTATCAAGCTTGTCCTTAAAGATATTTACACTTTTCGCGGAGATGATTTCTTCTGGTAGTTTGTTCCACCAGTTTATTCCACCCCTTCGTCATCTATTAGGCTGGCGCAGATGTATTTTTAATACATTGTTTCCAGTTAAGGATGTTGAACGCTGGATCTTCTTGACTCGATTCATGGGTTTTGCTTGTGTCTCTGTTTTTATGACTAGGCAACTCATTCTATTATCTCCAAATGAGGGTACAGCTCTAAAACTCAGTTTTATGGTTCTGAGGCCGGCTGGTAGTCAGGTTTCCCGAACTCTGTGGTAGCTCTCAGAGAGGCTGATTCCATCAACAGCTGAAAAATATCAGAGTGCTAACAGTGCCATGTTGCGCATGGATGGTGTCCCTGTTTGTACTTTTGGTGTGCATTGCCAAGGCCACATTGGAGCCCTTTGTTACGGCTTAGGGTTTATTAGTGGAAATGAGGTAATTGCTTGAGCTATAGAACAGTGTACTGAGTACTATCAATGTTTTGAGTCAAGTTCTTTAACAAATTTAAAAATGAATAAAGTAACAAAAACTATAAAACACAAAAAACCACAGTCATCACCAAGTTCGCTAAACCTATCATTCACCAATATTCGTGGTCTTAGAAGTAACTTTTCTTCTGTTGAGTTTTATCTCTTGCAAAGTTCACCAGACCTGCTTGCTCTTCATGAGACTAATTTGAGTTCAGCTGTCTCATCTTGTGATCTTAGTGTTGATGGTTATCTTCCTTTAATTCGTAAAGACTCCAATAGTCACATGCTTGGCCTGGGCATTTACATTCGTAAGAATTCACCCATTTGTCGGGAAACTAGGTTTGAATCCACAGACTACTCTTTTATGTGCTTTCGTTTAGCACCACTTTACTCTATCACCTTTCTCTTTGTTCTATATCGCTCTCCCTCATCCCAAGACTGCACTCTTCTTGATGTTATTTCTGATTATATTGACCAAGCCCTCATTCTTTATCCATCAGCCAATATTGTTGTTGTCGGTGACTTAAATGTTCATCACACTGAATGGCTTGGCTCTAGTGTCAGTGACTCTGCAGGCATTAAGGCCCACAACTTTTGTCTTTCTCAATCCCTAACTCAAATAGTCAACTTTCCAACTCGCTTTCTAGACAACCCGAATCATTTACCTTCTCTACTCGACTTATGTCTTGTTTCTGATCCTAGTCAGTGTTCAGTTTCTTCACACTCACCCTAAGGTGCGTCTGATCATGGTTTGGTCTCTCTAAAACTATTATCTCATTCTTCTTTACCATTAGAATCCCCCTATCATCGTACATCTTACAACTACCTTAAAGCTGACTGGGACTCTTTTTGTGACTTTCTTCATGATGGCCCCTAGGTAGAAATCTCTTGTCTCCCTGTTGACAAATGTGCTTCTTACATAACTTCGTGGATTCAGGCTGGCATGGAATCCTTTATTCCCTCTCGACGATTCTAGGTCAAGCCTCACTCTTCTCCATGGTTTCCCTCATATTGTGCTGCTGCAATTGCCAATCGAAACCATTACTTCCATGTCTATCAGCAAAACAATTCTCCAGAAAACAGACGCCTCTTTATTACTGCTAGGAACCATTGTAAAAAGGTTTTGTCTAACGCCAAAACCCGCTATTCTCAGATCATGAAATCTCGTATTTCATCACAAAAATTAGGCTTTCGTGACTTCTGGAGAATCTTTAATAGTATCAATAAAAAGGGCAAGTCTGTAATTCCACCTCTTTTGTACGGTTCAGACTTTTGTACGGTTCAGACCTCACCTTTCACGGCTCTTTTGTACCCTCACGGCTCTTTTGTACGGTTCAGACCTCACATAAAGACAAAGCTGAATTGTTTGCCAAGAACTTTTCAACTCTTGATGCCACTAGTTGCGTTTTACCTGATATACCCGTCAAACAGGTTGATCCATTGCTCGACATTTGTATCACTCCAGCTTCTGTATCTAAAGTGATTTTCCGCTTAGACTCTTCTACAGCTTGCGGCCCAGACAACATACCTGTTATAGTCTTGCAGAAGTGTTCTCCTGAGCTGTCGTCTATCTTTTCAAAACTATTTAACAAGTGCTTATCAGAGTCTTGTTTTCCAGCCTGCTGGAAAGCAGCATCTGTTATCCCTATTTTTAAAAATTCTGGAGAGCGATCTGACTCATCTAACTACCGTCCCATTAGTCTTCTTCCTATCATAAGCAAGGTTTTTGAATCTTTATTAACAAACACTTAATCTCTCATCTCAAATCTCATAACCTGCTTTCTGATCATCAGTATGGATTTCGATCTTCTCGTTCTGTGGCTGATTTGCTGTCAGTGGTAGCCAATAGGTTTTGTCGCGCATTAGATAAAGGTGGAGAGGTTAAGGCCATTGCTCTTGACATTTCTAAAGCGTTTGATAAAGTTTGGCATGCTGGTCTCCTCCATAAGCTTTCTTCTTATGATGTATCTGGAAACATCTTTAAGATTATTGAATCCTTCCTTTCCAATCGTAGTATAAAAGTTTTGCTTGATGGACAGCACTCTTCTTCTTATTCTGTAACCTCAGGGGTTCCCCAAGGTTCAATCCTTGGCCCTATACTCTTTTTAATTTACATTAACGATCTTCCAGATATTCTCACATCTAAGGTGGCATTGTTCGCTGATGATACTACCATTTATTCTTGTCACGATAAGAAGCCAACTCCCTCTGATTGCTTGCAGGGGGCATCTGAGCTCGAAAAGGATCTCACTTCTGCTACAGCATGGGGCTCGCAGTGGCTGGTGAACTTTAATTCAGATAAAACTCAATTTTTTTCGGCCAATCGTTATCGCAATAATTTAGACCTTCCTATATTTATGAATGGTAATGTACTCGATGAGTCTCCTACCCTTCATCTTCTAGGATTAACTCTTACTTCTGATCTTTCTTGGAAACCTTATATCAAATCCGTTGCAAAATTAGCATCTGCTAAAGTTGCTTCTCTTTATCGAGCTCGTCACTTTCTTACTCTGGATTCTATTCTCTATCTCTATAAATCTCAAATCCGGCCTTGTATGGAATACTGTTGCCATATCTGGGGCAGATCTTCTAATGACCCCCTTTCTCTTTTAGACAAGGTGCCAAAACGCATTGTAAACATAGTTGGACCTGCTCTTGCAGCCAACCTTCAACCTCTGTCACATCGTCGTAATGTTGCTTCTCTTTCTCTTTTCTACAAATACTATAATGGGCACTGCTCTAAAGAGCTAGCGTCTCTTGTGCCATCTACTAAAATTCATTCTCGTGTTACTCGTCATTCAATTAAGTCTAATTTGCAATATTTTAAGTCGTCTGTCAATCGTTATCTTGCTCTACAATCTTCATCTTTTCTCTTCCAGTAACTTCCAACACTAATTAGTGGTTGCTTGCAACCTTGTTGGAAGCGAAGATAATTAAAAAAAAAAAAAACTCAATTTGTAAAAAAATTTTTCCTTGGTCTGTTTCTTTTTATCAGCTCAATATCTACACGTGCTTTATGTCCTCTAATGTTTGAAGCTGGACCATTTGCTGAAATTGAAATTGCTGTTTTTGTTTGTTGATACCAACACACTTTGTCCAAGTTATGAAATATTTTATAATATTGAATTAAATCATATCTTAATCTCCTGATTTTTAAAGAAGTCAGTTGGAGTTTTTTTAACCTTTCTTCATAGGGTAGGTGTCTTAACTCTGGAATCAACTTTGTTGCTCGTTGTTGAACAATTTCTAATTTATGTATGTCATTTTTATTATAAGGGTTCCATATTGGTGATGCATATTCAAGAATAGGTCTTACAAAAGTGCAATACAAAATCTTCATAGTGTTTTTGTCTTTGTAAGTAAATGATTTGCTTAGTAGACCTAATCGACTATTTGCTTTATTTACAACCATATTTACATGTTGATTCCACTTCATAGTATTTGAAATTAACAATCCAATGTCTTTTTTATTAGTTGTTGAATCTAATTTTGAATCTTTTATAAAATATTCAAAATTCTTATTATACTTTCCAAAATGCATGATTTTACATTTTTTGATGTTGATGTACATCTTTTTTCCAAAGGCAAAATTCTCAAAAGCATTTTTTTTATTTAAGAATTTTGCCTTGAGTTTCATTAGAGTCTTAAGTCTAATACCATTCAATACCTTATTTAAAGCCATTCAATGCCTCATTTAAAATTTTTTTTTGAGAAGTTTTTATTAAAGGCTAAGGCTAATTCCATGAAGATGAAAAATTAAGATTACATTGACAGTTTGCATTTGGTTAAAATGATCAGGTGCATTAAGAATACAATAAAATTTTAGTGTTTTTTTAATTAAAGTTACTAAATAATAATTATAAATTATTATTAACTATAAGTGCAAAGTAAAAAAAAAGCTGTTAAGTATTAAAATAACTTATCACTGTTATTAATTTATAATTTTGAAATAATTAAATATTGTTTACATATAAGAACTTAAAATATGCAATTTATATTAAAGTTTATTCTTAATATATTTCAGCTTCCGTGTGTTGGAATGTTGATATATATGCTACATGATTTCATGGGTTTAGAACATTTCAACTACACAGAGTTTGAACTTGCATCTTTTTTTATGGATAAAAGTATGCTTATCTCAAAGATATTCACATCATTACTCTCAAGTGCTCATGAAAGAAAAAGGTAAAAGTCAGATATTAATTTTAATTGATTTAGAAAAAAGGAAAAATTTTATTTAAAAAAATTTTTTTATGGATAGATTTTCTGTTTTGACTAAAACCCTCATTTGATGTAGCAGCACTTATAACATGTTCACACAGCACACACAGCAGCACTTTTAACATGTTCTACCAATTTGTGAGTCGATGTATGTAAACAGTACAAAAATGAAAATAAAAACATTCTGAATGTTTTTTGTTTTTTTGTTGTTTGGTTTTTTTAATAAAAACATTCCAGTCTATTAAGTTGCGTTTTTGTGGTTTTTAAAAAAAACTATAACATTTTATTAACTTACTTTAGTAAATTCCATAAAATGTGCTTAATTTTGTCATTTTTGATGATAAATAGTTGTCGAGAGCCATACATATATATATATATATATATATATATATATATATATATATATATATATATATATATATATATATATATACAAATAGTATTGCATACTAAGGTAAACAATCTGACATCATACTGAAATAGCCTGCTGCTAGGGGCTTCAGTACATACATCGACTGACAAATAGCCTGACTCGCAGTGGAGTGCTGCTACATCGACTGAGGGTTTGGGATGGGGAAGCAATCGTTTTGTTCATCATTCTTTGTTTTTTCTTCTTTTTCGAAAAAAATGGTATAGCTTAAGGTAAGCAGAAAAAGTGAGCAAATGCTTATCAAAACATGTTTTAGTAAGTGTGTGTATATATATATATATATATATATATATATATATATATATATATATATATATATATATATATATATATATATAATTTAGTAAAAACACTTATCTAATTTTTGTGCTCTTCAACAGTTTCACCATCAGTAGATTCAACAGGAAGACTTCCTGATGAACCTACTGATGGTGAAACATGCTGTTGAAGAGCACAAAAAACCAACATGACAAAACAAAAAAATCTATAATCAAAAGTACGTTGCCCGCGAAATTTGAAAAGTTACCTTTTAATTTTTGAACACACCTCGTATATGGCTATTTCAGTATGACATATATTTATTTTGGTCTAAAATCTACCTAAAAGTAGATTTTTTAAATCTACTTTTAGGTAGATTTTATACCAAAGTTGCAAATTTAAACATTCTTTTATAATAACTAGGAATTGTAATAGCGGTTTACTGATAAATAAAGTTTAAGTTATTACAAAAATTCGTTAGTAATTTGTGCTTTTTTTATTATGTATTTAAGTAGATTGCTTTGAATCATAATAGTTGGTTAATTTTTATATATATTAAAAAGATATTGTAAACAAAATGTTATATTAAGTATATTTATATGTCAATCAGATCAAAAACTTTCGTTTAGATCAAAGTAAATTAGGAAATAATTAAACAATATTTGAAATGGTGCTTTACAATTTCAAAAATCATTATTTAAGTACCGCTCTTTGCTAGTTTATAAAAAAAAAAATTTTAATATAAATTTTGAAAAATTTCTTTGTGAAGATCTACATAATTTTTAATGGATAAAAATTCCATTTTGTAATAAGATCATTGAATGGACCAAATGTAAATAATACACAAAAAGAAAAACAAAACTTAAACTGAAAGTACTTGTAGTTTACATGACCATCAAAAGAGTCAACATAAAATAATGTTTTACTAAGAAATATTAACAACAATCTAAAAAACTGGCCATTGCAATAACATCAAAAAAAAATGAATCTCGTGAATCTTTTTTTTTAAGAATGATTGCAAAAAAATTTAATAAATTTTGTAAATTTAAAGATTTAAAATTTGTATTTAGAGCAAAAGCAGAGAAATATCAAAATTGTCCAAAACCATTTAAAAAAAGCAATGGATTGTGCCGATAAAATAAGGATAGAAGTTGTAAAGGAAATTTTACAGAAAAATTCAATAACAAAGCATATGAATCAATATCCAATAAAAAATATCAATAAATTAATATAATAAACATTTATGGAAATTTCAATTTTTAGAATCTCAAATTGAGTTGAATTCATCAATCTGCACCTTCTGAAGTATTTGTAGAACTATTTGAAAGAATTAAGTATATTGTTTTCATAACATCAGACAGAGCTGATGTTAATAAGAGAACAATAAAATTACTTAATATAAACTATTAGTTATGTTTTTTAGGTACAGTTCGCAACTGTAAAAGTTCTTTTTAATATTAGTATAACAGATGTACAAGATGCTAATGAATTTACAATATTGATTTTGATACTAAATATTCAGAAAAATAAACATGAAAAAAATTTTTTTAATTTTCCACGCTTTTTGCAAATGAGCAGATGCCAAGTCTGGCCAAAATACGTATTTTCCTGTACTATAAAATTTATTTATAAAAGGAGCCAAATACTTTTTAATTATGGTTTCCAGGTAGACTGTTTGGTTCAAGGTCATTCCTCAAGGAATGAAAAATGGCTTTGATATGCTTTTTATTGAAATACAAAACCAAACTAATATATATGTATTTTTTTCATATTTGACTTTACATGCGGGGGAATCAGATTAGTATCACTTGAATAAAAATCAGAGTTGCTAGACTCCAACTATTGGGTTTATGTAAATAATGATTCATCATCTGAAACAAAATCAGTATTATTATATTCTTCTAACATTTTTCAACACTTTAGCCGTGCTTGCTTTTTCTGATTTTCAGTTAGAAGTGGTCTTTAATTTTTTTTACCATATTTGATGTTCTTTTGTTTAAAATCTTTAAAACATATTTTTGATAAAATTTTAGCTTCCAACACAATTTTGAGAACAGCCAGAATGATGATCAAACTTTTTTTATATATCAAATGTTGGTTTTTGATGCAATTATAACAGGTCTACCACAAGTTATTTTTCTTTCCAATGATCTGTTAGTTTCAATAGACTTGATCCAACTGTAAACAGTTGATTTTGCGTACCCGAGAGCTATAAAATGGTTGGCAGTTACCTTTTTGTTTATCTGGATCATTTTCCCAAAACTTGTACAGATTATTTTAAATATTTTCATTTATTGCCATTTTTTAAAAATTATTAAATATATTAAAAATTTAAACACACCTCCTTGTACATTTCTTGGCAGAGATTTAAGAACTTAACATTAACTCCAGTCCAAAAACTTATTTGTAACCTATTGTCAGAGACTCCTAAATGATTAAGGTTCGGATTCAAATAATGGTATTATTACTGTTAAACCAAATGTTTTTTTCTATGTAGGAAAACCTTCATCTTATTAATAAAAACAGACATAAATCAAGAACTGTTTTCAAATAAAATAACATTAACGGTCTGAAATAGTAATTAGAAAAAGAATTTGATGCTTAAGTATAAAGTAGATTCAAATAGTTCTTATTTGATGTTTATTTTTCCAACATGTTGGAAAAACATGCCTGAAAGAGTTTTCTCATTTACCGGAAAATAAAAATATGTATAAATGAACAAACCCTATTAATAACTATAAGTATCTGTAAATTAACAAATGTTTATAATAACTATAAAGTAATTGGAAACTGCTGTGGCTTTTGGAATGGCTGATGTTTTTTTTGTTTTTTTTTTAAAGATAAAAGAAAAATAAATTTTTTCAATAAATTATTTTTTAAAAATCAGATATTGATTTAGCAAAAGTAGCAAAGTTGTTTAAAAATGTCAGCAAGGTAGAAAATTTTATATTTACATAAATTTGTTTTTTTAGTTTGTTTTTTTTAATTTTTTGTATTTTTTGCTTCTTAACCATTTTTAGGTCTGTCACACAGACTTGTTTCATAGGTAACAAGGGTAACACTCAAATTTTTTTTTTTTTTTTCTTAATTTTCTGATAAGTTATTCAAAATGAAAATCAATGTTTAAAAAGTAAAATTTTGAAATAGTTTCAAAAAAATTATTTAAACAAAAATAAAATACTGTTTATAGAACAGTTTTGAAATTTGACTGAAACATGTTTATAAACTCTTAAGTGTAAAGTTTACTTAAGATTTTAATATAGAGAGTGTATCAGCTTGCACCACCTCAACTAATAAATGAGGTGTAGGGTAGATGCTTAACTGTGGTGGCTTTTTTTTTTTAATTTTATTTTATTTTTTTAATTTTAATTTTAAAAATTTTTTTTAAAATTAAAAGGTTTTTGGTAAGCAAGTTGTATAAAGTTAAAAATATATTTTATGGTGAAGATTCTTCTATTTCTTTATCAATTTTGTTTTTAAAATTTTGTTGTTTTTTTCCTCCAAAAGAACAAATCTTTTCTCTTAAATATATATATATTTTTTCATAAAGTACAAGTTTTTACATTAAATAAAACATTTTCTTCTAGAAGAACAATTTATAACAACAATGGAATTACTGGAGAGGTAAAGGCCATCGCTCTTGGCATTTCTAAAGCATTTGATAAAGTTTGGCATGCTGGTCTTCTCCATAAGCTTTCTTCTTAACTTGTATCTGGAAACATCTTTAAGATTATTGAATCCTTCCTTTCCAATCGTAGTATAAAAGTTGTCCTTGATGACAGCACTCTTCTTCTTACTCTGTAACCTCAGGGGTTCCTCAAGGTTCAACCCTTGGCCCTATACTCTTTTTAATTTACTTTAACTATCTTCCAGATATTCTCACATCTAAAGTGGCAATGTTCGCCGATGATACTACCATTTATTCTTGTCACGATAAGAAGCCAACTCCCTCTGATTGCTTGGTGGGGGCATTTGAGCTTGAAAAAGATCTCACTTCTGCTACAACATGGGGCTCACAGTGGCTGGTGAACTTTAATTCAGATAAAACTCAATTTTTTTCAGCCAATTGTTATCTCAATAATTTAGACCATCCTATATTTATGAACGGTAATGTACTCGATGAGTCATCTACCCTTCATCTTCTAGGATTAACTCTTACTTCTGATCTTTCTTGTAAACCTTATATCAAATCCGTTGCAAAATTAGCATCTGCTAAAGTTGCATCTCTTTATCAAGCTCAACACTTTCTTACTCTGGATTCTATTCTCTATCTTTATAAATCTCAAATCCGGCCTTGTATGGAATACTGTTGCCATATCTGGATTTTCTAATGATGCCCTTTCTCTTTTAGACAAGGTGCAAAAACGCATTGTAAACATAGTTGGACCTGCTCTTGTAGCCAATCTTCAACCTTTGTCACATTGCTGTAATGTTGCTTCTTTTTCTCTTTTTTACAAATACTATAATGGGCACTGCTCTAAAGAGCTAACGTCCCTTGTGCCATCTACTAAAATTCATTCTCGTGTTACTTGTCATTCAATTAAGTCTCTGTTACTGTTCCTAAGTGCTCCAAAAACTATTGTTCGTCTAGTTTTTTTCCTCGAACATCAGTTCTTTGGAATTCGCTTCCTTCATCTTGCTTTCCTGATTCATATCATTTGCAATCTTTTAAGTTGTCTGTCAATCGTTATCTTGCTCTACAATCTTCATCTTTTCTCTTCCAGTAACTTCCTACACTAATTAGTGGTTGCTTGCAGTCTTGTTTAAAGCGAAGATGTTAAAAAAAAAAAACTTGTGCTGGAGAGGAAAAAAAAGTCATAATTAGTTATTATTTCCTTAATTATATATATATATATATATATATATATATATATATATATATATATATATATATATATATATATATATATATATATATATATATATATATATATATATATATATATATATATATATAACAAAGGTCTGACCATAAAACATAGAAACGAGGTCGGTTATTTTTGCTAACCTCAAATACTTTAAGGTCGGAATTGCCGAATGCCGACCCTAATTTCGAGGGTCCTATATATAGATATATATATATATATATATATCATTTTTTCAATCACATGTTTTAAAAGTTATAGCTAATAGCCACTAGGGTTGCAATATGTAATTTTATAAAATAAACATACCATGAAAACTGGGATTAATCAAATAGTCAGTTAGAAATTTAAATTAACTGAGTTTAGTTCCTCTCAAATTTTTTTTTTTTTTATTATTATAAATTTTTCGGTTGATACTATATATCTTTATTTTTTGAAATTTGCTTGCAGAAAATGTAAAAATGATTTTCTTTTTTTTTTATTTGTTTTTGACATCATAATTTTAGAAAATTCATTTTTTTTTAAAAATTGATTTATCTTTTTTATAGCATCAAAAGTATAACCCCGCATAAATACAGCGAATGGAATACCTTACTTATGTCAAAAGTATCAAAATGGTTCAGTGTTGCTTCTCATGCTGGTGCAGATTATGTATGTAAAATTTAATAATTTAAAATTAAAAACATTTTTATTTAATTTTCCTTTCTTGTTATTTTTAACTTGGGTTTTTCTGATTTTAATGAGATCTTTGTGATTTTTTTAGGCTGCAGAAAAATTTGGTTTTGATAAGTCATTGTTCAATATTTTTGGTAAATTTTCTAATAAATTTTATATATTAAAACAGCTCTATTAAAACAAATGTAATCTAACTATTTTGATAAATACAGATGAGTTTATGTTTTCATAGTATGTTTGAAACTACATAAAAAGAAATAAAGTAAAGTTTGAATAGAACCATACATACCATATTATCAGAGTAAATTAACACACAAAATTATTGAGTACTTGATCCTAATATTCCACTAGAGATGTTGGTTCCATCAACACCTGGAAAATATCAAAGTATTAACAGTGCCATGTTGTACATGGATGGTGTCCCTGTTTGTACTTTTGGTGTGCATTGTCAAGGCCACATTTAGAGCCCTTTATTACGGCTTAGATTTTATTAATAGTAATGAGGCAATTGCTTGGGCTATTAAACAGTGTACTGAGCACTGTCTACGCTTTGAGTAGAGTTCTTTAATAAATTTAAATATGAATAAAGTACCAAAAACTATAAAACACAAAAAACCATCGTCATCACCAAGTTCTCTAAACCTATCATTCACTAATATTTGTTTTCTTCAAAGTAACTTTTCTTTTGTTGAGTCTCATCTCTTGCAAAGTTCACCAGACCTACTTGTTCTTTGTGAGACTAATTTAAGTTCACCTGTCTCATCTTGTGATCTTAGCATTGATGGTTATCTTCCTTTAACTCATACTCCAATAATCACATGCTTGGCCTAGGCATTTACATCCATAAGTATTTACCCATTTGTCAGGAAACTAGATTTGAATCCACAGACTGTTCTTTTATGTGCTTTCAATTAGCACCACTTCACTCTATCGACTTTCTCTTTGTTCTATATTGCTCTCTATCTCAAAACTGTACTCTTTTTGATGTTATTTCTGATCAAATTGACCGAGCCCTCTCTCTTTATCCATCAGCCAATATTGTTACTGTTGTTGACTTTAATGCTCATCACACTGAATGGCTTGGCTCTAGTGTCAGTGACTCGGCAGGCATTAAGTCCCACAACTTTTGCCTTCCTCAATCTCTAATTTAAATAATCAACTTTCCAACTTGTTTTCAAGACAACTCAAATCATTTACCTTCTCTACTCTACTTATGTCTTGTTTCTGATTCTAGTCAGTGCTCAGTTTCTCCGCATTCACACTAAGGTGCTTCTGATCACAGTTTGATCTCTCTAAAACTGTTATCTCATTCTTCTTCATCATCAGAATCACCTATCATTGAACCTCCTACAACTACCTTAAAGCTGACTGGGACTCTTTCCATGATTTTGTTTGTGATGGCCCTTGGGTAGATAGCTTTTGTCTTCCTGCTGACAAATGTGCATCTTATAAAACTTCTTGGATTCAGGCTGGCATAGAATCTTTTATTCCCTCTCGATGATTGTAAGTCAAGTCTCACTCTTCTTTATGGTTTTCCATACATTTTGCTGCTGCAATTTCCAGTCGTAACCATTACTTTCATATCTATCAGCAAAACTATTCTCCTGAAAACAGACATCTGTTTATTACTGCTAGGAACCATTGTAAAAAGGTTTTGTCTAACGCCATAGTCCGCTATTCTCAGTCATGAAATCTTGTATTTTATCACAAAAATTAGGCTTTCGTGACTTCTGGAGAATCTTTAATAGTATCAATAGTAAGGGCAAATATGTTATTCCACCTCTCTTGTATGGTTCAGGCTTTGTCACAATACCCAAAGACATAGCTAAATTGTTTGCTAAGAACTTTTCATCAATATCATCTCTTGGTTCCAGTTGTTGCTTTCTACCTGATTTAACCGTCAAACAGGTTGATCCATTGCTCTTTATGATTGCTTGGAGGGGGCATTTGAGCTTGAAAAGGATCTCACTTTTGCTACAGCATGGGTCTCACAGTGGCTGATAAACTTTAATTCAGGTAAAACTCAATTTTTTTTAGCCAATCATTATCGTAATAATTTAGATCTTCCTTTATTTATGAATGAAAATGTATTCGATAAGTCATCTACCCTTTGTCTTCTGGGATTAACTCTTACTTCTGATCTTTCTTGGAAATCATATATCAAATCCGTTGCAAAATTGGCATCTGCTAAGGTTGTATCTCTTTATCAAGCTCTACACTTTCTTACTCCAGATTCTTTTCTCTATCAATATAAATCTCAAATCCGGCCTTGTATGGAATACTGTTGCCATATCTGGGGCGGATCTTCTAATGATGTCCTTTTTTTTTTAGACAAGGTGCAAAAACACATTATAAACATAGTTTGACTTACTCTTGCAGCAAACCTTCAACAATTATCACATCTTCATAATGTTCCTTCTCTTTCTCTATTCTACACATGCTATAATGGGCACTGCTTTAAAGACCTGGCGTCTGTTGTGCCATCTACTAAAATTCATTCTTGTGTTACTTGTGATTTAATCAAGTCTCATCCTTTTTCTGTGACTGTTCCTAAATGCTTCAAAAGCTCTTACATATCTAGTTTTTTTCCTCCAACATCAGTTCTTTAGAATTTGCTTCTTTCATCTTGCTTTCCTGATTCATATAATTTGAAATCTTTTAAGTCATGTGACTTTTCTCTTCCAATAACTTCCAACTCTAATAGTGGTTGCTTGCAAACTTATTGGAAGTGAAGATGTTATATATATATATATATATATATATATATATATATATATATATATATATATATATATATATATATATATATATATATATATATATTATATTAGGGCCCTGCGATTTGGTTCGGTTCGCGAATCGAGTGTTGCTTCGATTAGAGTATTGATTTGTAAAAAATAATTCAACTTTTTCGAATAACAATTTATTTTGTGAGTGTTGTTTTTTTTTTAGATATCCAATGCTAAGATGCTATCAAAATGTTTTTTATTTATCTCAGCCAAAGTAAAATAATTATTATTGAAAGTAATTGTAATACTGCTTCCAAGCAAATGCTAAAAATTTTTCTTTAATTTTTTTTAAAAGCTCCAAATAACTTATAAGGATCCCTAAGTGCCAAGACAAGTTGTGTTCATGTTAATGAAAATGTTAAAAATACACTTGGGTTAAATTTGTTTATTTAATATTAGGAGCCCCAAGAAAGTGGATCAATTGATCCAAACACAACTTTGCTGAAGCTAAATTTTTTATGTTGATAAAATGATTTTTTATGACTTTTATTATTTTGATATTTACTGAAAAACGGAGAAACTACTTTAGAAACACATGCACAGATGCAGCTACCTAAAAACCCTAAAGTGACTCAATTGATCCACCTTATGGAAAACATGCATATACATAACAGAAAAATACACAATTATCAACATGCTTGACATTTCAGATAGATCTCAAATGTATTTAATGAGAATGATATAAATGAGTATTACTGATGGTAGCATTTAGAGATTTTCCGTGAGAAATAAATGCTTCTCTCAACTGTTCTCTCAATTTTCTTTCAAATTTTTTGTTGATAGCCTTTAAAATTTTTTGAAGAAAACAGCTAGCAGCCAGCAACTGCATCCAGATTTTGTTGACATTTGTCAACATATCAAATCTAACATATCTACTCCACATTTATTTGCATAGCAATAAAGGATTCCTAGCCCTTTTATGAAGTGTTGATAATAAAAATTTTTCTTCTTTGCCTGATAGACAATCAAGGTCAATGGTCCATTTATGTAGAAAGTTGAATCTTAAAGTGAAAGTGCAGGAAATGCTGAAATTTCTTTTCTATTATGTTTAACTGCTTCAATGACTAGCATTTTCTTTTGCAAAAGTTTTGTTGATCAACACTTGTAAAAAATTTATCTGTAGTAACATAACAGCAACCAAGGTTCCATTAGTGACATGACCACATAAGTACCTAAATTTTCTACATGGCTTTCATCTTTACCTAAATACGATTTGATATTGAGATAATATTTAGTTTTTAGATCAGCTAAATTCCAGATTTGTCCAGTTTATTGGGCATATACTGTATATAAAAGTTTTGTTGCCATATTTTTCAGACCATTGGAATTCAACTGGAAAATTTATTTGTCACTTATATTTATGCTTTATTTGATAAATTGGCAGATGAAAATAGTACAATTTTTGATAAAGCATGTTAACCTTTTACCATAATTAGTCTAAATGCATAAATAGTTGTCAAAACATTCAGATAATAGCGAGTTGTTCCACTTTTGGCTGTAAACACATTCTGAGTTTGAAATAGGCCAGTTAACCCAACTTTTGACCTAATAGTCCATTTTACATCATCTCTATGAGTTTTAACTGTTGAATCCCACAGTATGAATTTTCTTCTACATCGTCATCGCTACTTTCTGGATTGTAACTAATAGTATTACATTTATTATCATCAGAAAGATTATCTTCAACATCATTTGCCTCATCATTTTTTTTTCCTTGAATCTGATTTATCACCACTGTCAATTTGTGAGAGTTCTTGTAATATGATGAAACACTGTTGAGTGGACACACCTTTTGGGCATTGATATGTAAATTATTGGTCAATTGAAATAGAATGTGCTGCAACAGAGGTTATTGATGGTGAAGCACTATCAGTGTTTGCTGAACTTTCATTTTAGTACAAATAGCTTAAACAAAATTTTAAATCTTATAGTAGCAAGATTCATACTGTAAAGCAATAATATTAGTATATTTTATTTTGTTCGCTTTTCATTTTGTTTCATATTTTATTTTGGTACAAATAATCTGTATAAATATAGTTGGTAATCCATCTTTAGGCAAATCATACTACTAAACTCCTACTAAGAGTTGAACGGGCCGTGGTTTTGATTAATATGTATATATATGCAGGATATAGGAGATTTTTGTTTTTTTTTTATAATTTGCATCTAAATTAAGTTTTAACTGATAGTTTCATACATTTAAATGAAAAATAAGTCTAAATGCATATTAATGTTAGGTTGGATCAATTGATCCACTTTGGGGTTTCTAGGTATATAAAAAATTAGTGCTTCTTGTGTTAAAACTAAAATACATATCTATAAAATTAAAGTATCTTTATCTAGATTTTTATATTAAAATATTAGCTTACTTTCTTATCTTTGCAAAGTATTTGTCTGTGTAAAAATATATTAAATTTTTTTTTTTTTTCAATTTGTTTATTTTATTTTATTTACTTGAAGTTTTCAAAGTGAAAAAATTTTGTTTTACTTACTTTTTAATTGTTATTTGCGCTGATCTCTATTTAAGTCAGACAGTATATGTACACTCAACTATGACTACCTAAACTATAATTAAAAACACTATAATGTAATATGTCTATAAATAAACAACAATGTTAGTTAATAAACATAAAACTACTTTAAATAAAATATTTTAAATTAAATTAAATAGTTTCCAATGGAGGATTCGAACCCACTACCTAGACAGCCCACTTCAAAATTAAATCAATATAACATCCACTGCACTACTCTAATATTTTGTCTAAGGGATAGTCCATAAATTATGCAATTCTAATATTCCCTAATAAACAAAACAAAAAAGTTTTCACTCACAGAGCCTAATCAAAAATCAAAACAAGACATCAAGTTTTACAAAAATTGCAGCATTAAAGAGCTTAAGAAATCTAGCTTCTGTTTTTAAAATAAACGCGTTGTGTAGTTTATGGATGGAAAAAATAATGTATTTATCATATTTTATACAATCAACAAATACTGTTATTTCATCTGATCAACAAACAACAATATTTTTAAAAAAACATTAAATTAGCAATCATATAAATTTATATATTTTTATTAAAAAAAAATTTATCTTTTAGAAAATATCTTTTTTAAAAGGTATATAAATTTAAAAGTAATCCTGACGGTTGATGAATCAAATATATTGTTTTGTTTTTAAATGTATTGCAACTATTTTTTAAAAGTTTAGTTAAAAATTTTATGGTTTTTTGATTCTCAGACTTTCTTCAATATCTTTAAAAAATGCACATGACATCATATACTGAAACTGTATGAATTAAACGCACATGAAATAAATTATGCAGTCTGCAGATTGCAGCATGCATTATAAATATACGCTGCAATCTGCAGCGTATATATATAATATACACTGACTCCAAGAACCAAGAAAAATGGAGAAAATGAGCTTCGGCTCAAACAACAATTTTAGTTTTATTGATTTATGTTTAAATTTTAATCAAAAAATTTATCCAAAATGTTTTTGATATGAATACAACTTGATATGAACATAACTTGATACGAACATAGCATATCTTTGATATGAACACTACTTGTCTTGGCATTTAGGGATCCCTTTAGCATAATTTACGTAACTTTTATTAAATAAAAATTTTTTTATTAAAAAACCTTTCCATGGTTTTGAAAAACCAAATGCATTATCAAGGGTGTGGAGTTGTTAAAAATAGTATCGACTCTTGTTAAAATTTTCAATTTGCTTTGTTGAAATTTTCAGAGTACAACACCAACTCCGACTCTAAAGCAAAATTTTTGAAAAATTCTTTGAATTCTTTAAAAAATATTACGCATAGCTTGAATTTTTTGCCAAATATATGAAAATTCTTTGAAGGTTAAATATTTTGTACATGCATGTGCAATACTGAGAAGTTTTACTATTAAAGTCAGAGTCGTGATTTTGTTTAGCAACTCCAATTCAGCTACAAATGTCATGACTCCGACTTCACAGCCCTGTGTATTATATATTGGGTATATATATATGTGTGTGTGTGTGTATATATTTGTGTGTGTGTGCGTGTCTGTGTGGGTGTTAACATTTTCAATGCAAAAATGAAGACTTTTTTTCCATACTGCCTTTTCAGTAAAAGTAAAAACAAAGAATGGCAAAAAAAATATTATTGTTTATCCAATTCAAAAGTAAAAATATAATTCTCTCATGAGACCTATTAGTTGTTACTTGAACATTTTCCTGGAAATATTTTTATCTAATGTTTTTTTTTTTTTTTAAAGTTTTTTCTCTCTCTCTCTCTCTCTCTCTCTCTCTCTCTCTCTCTCTCTCTCTCTCTATATATATATATATATATATATATATATATATATATATATATATATATATATATATATATATATATATATATATATATATATATATATATATATATATATATACTATTTAATAGGACTAGATAATCCGATTCCATTTGAAAGTTCATTTCTTCAACTTTCATTATCACAAAAATTAACGTTACTTAAAGCACTATGTGAAGTAGCTTTGGTAAGTTTATTTCTTCAACTTTCATTATCTTAAATATTAACATTATTTAAAGCACTGTATGAAGTAGCTGTGTTAGATGTGGTAAAAGTGGTAAATTACCTACTAGCAATATGTTATGTTGCTTTGGTGTAAAATAGAACCAAACATTTTTTGTTTCATTATTTGAAAATGAAATAACTTTTTCTGTAGGAAAATGATGATGTAATGTGCAATACCCTTGCTGAAATCCCTATAATTAAAAGACAAGACTTATGTTTGGGTCAAGATTTAGGGAAAAATACGTATCATTTTTTTCCACAGTTTAATTCTACAGATATTCGAGTTTATAAGCAACATTTTACTAAGGTAAGTTTTATTTTGTATTATATACTTATCTTGTTATAAGGTTGTAAGTTGGTTATAAGGTCTTGTATTATACTTGTTATGTTGACAAAAAGTTTTAAGCTTTTAATTTTTAACTTTTTTATGCATCATTAATATTTTATAAAATCATAAAGATAATTTTTGTTTTCAATTTCATTTTAAGCGACACTTTGATTTTTAAATAAATTTTTAGGGATCATCAAAAACCACACAGAATAGTTTAACATATGAACTAGTAGCATGGAATCTTGATACATTAGGTGCTATGGTATCTTCTTTCAAATCAACCAGTGAAAGAAAAAATTCTTGTTTATATAATTTGCAGCAAACTTTACAAGCACTTTATGATGAGTTATTAACACGAAAGGAAGATTTTACAAAATCTCATCTGTCTGGAAAATTATCTGTAATGCAAAATTTTTATTGGCCTAATGGTGAAACAGGTTTTTTCTTTTTCTTTTTTTTTTTCCTTTATTTGTTAAAACTGTTTATATTTTATTATCTTAACTAAAGGTTGAATGAGTTTTTCATAGAAAATGACAGGGAATTACTAGTTGTGATTTTTATAAAAGATATTGGAGAGTAGAATTATGGACTTTATGAGAGCATACCTGACACTTAATCACCTGTTTGTGTCTTTGTTTTCTTACAATTAAATTAACAAATTCCAATACAACAAAGTTAAAAACAAAATTAGTAAATGCAACAAAGTTAGATTTTAATAAAATAAGTAAATAATTTTAAATATACTATAAGTAAATAATTTTTGATATGATGAATTATTGTAATTACAAGTGTGATTGCAAGATAAACTCCTTTTCCTTTTTAAAAAAAAATGAGTATATTCTATTTTTTATAAGAAATTGTAAAAAAATTTGTGTATGAATTTATAAAAATCAGATTTTTAATATTTTAAAGTTTGTTAAAAATTTAAAACACAAAATTACCAAAATTTATATTTATTTCACTAATTTGAATTTTTTGTTAGGAAATAGGGTTTTTAAAAATATAAAACGTTCACTGAAAGGTGGGTATAACCAAGTAACCAGGGCAGTAATTACACTAATATTATAAAAGTGTAAATACAATCGATGAATCAATGGATTGAATTAATGAAGCATAATGAGTTTTCCATCAACAAATTTCTCACATCCCATCTTGAATAATTTATTCTCAGACAATCAATATGGTTTTTGATCCTCTCGCTCTACGCTCTACGACTTGCTAACTGCTGTAACTGAAATATTTTATCTTTCATTATAGGTTAAGGGAGAGGCTAGGGCTATTGCTCTTGACATATCTTAATCTTTTGACAAAGCATGCTGGTCTTTTTTATAAACTTCATATGATGTATCTGCTAAAAGTTTTTTAAATTATCAAATTGTTTCTTTCTTACCGCTTTATTAAAGTTATCCTGAAAGGCCAGCGTTCTTCTTCTTTTCCAGTAAATTCTGGGGTACCTCAAGATTCAAGTAGTTGGACCCGCTTTATCTGCTAAGCTTGAACATCTTTCCTATCATTGTAAAGTTGCATCTCTTTCTCTTTTCTACAATATTTTTTTTTTTTTTATATGAACTGCAAGTTTATGCCTCCTTCCTTACCGTGACGCGAAATATGTACAAAGCTCATTTCGAACCTGGATCTCCTGCTTATAATGCAAGTGCTCTAACCACTGCGCCATGGCTGCACTCCTATACTACCATGGTCCCTGCTAAAAGGAGCTATCATCTCTAGTTCCATTAACTAAAACTCTCTCTTGACTGGTCATTTAGTAAAGTCTCATTTTATTTACTGTAACTGTCCCTGCATGCTCTTAAAAGTTTTATTCATTTAGTTTTTTTCCTTGCACTTCATCTCTAAAAAACTCACTCCCACCTTCATGTTTTTCTGACTCATGCAACCTACAACTTCTCAAATCTTCTGTCAACCATTTCCTTACACACTTTTCTATTTTTTCTTCAAGTAAATCCAAATCAATATTGGTTGCTTGCAGCCTTGTTGGGAATCAGAATTAAAAAAAAAAATCTGAATCAGTTTTCAGAGCCCTTTAAACTTTTTTTGCGAAATTATTTTGAAAGAACAACTATTATACAGTTTATATAGTTCACAACTGTTTATTATATGCTCTTGTATCAAAAATTATTTAGTTAAGTGTTACGGCTTTTACATACATTCTCTCTGCGCAATTAATCTCCAAGCAAATAATGGTGGGGTGATGGCTATGCAATTAGAACTTTGCAAAACGTTAATAATATTGTTGTGCAATTGTCGAGGAATTGTTGTGCAATCATTACAATCATGAAATTTTTTTTACAATCTAAAAACTCTGACCCATTTCGAAACCCATTATGGGTCCCCGAAATTGTGAAGTTTTTGGCTGCGTCTTTGTCGGCCTCTGAGTAAATATCTTATGAGAGCCTTTAAATGAAAACCTGTTTTAGTAATTTAAAAAACGGTTTTCAATTGTGTCAAATTTATTACAAAAACCGTTTTTTGAACCGGGTTTTGAAAGACTGTCAAACCCAAATCGGCAAATTTTTCAAATATGTAATTCATAAAAATTTATATACACTATTTTTTTCATAAAAGCAAATTGCAACAATGTATATACTTTACTTTTAAATGTTTGAGTTTTTTTTTATTTTTATCCACATTTAAATTAAATTGTAATTTTTAATGTACAAGCTATTTTTTTAACTGTTAATGTAATTAACAGTTAAAAAAATAGGAATTTTTATGAGTTAACATGTTCAGTTCAAATATTATTTAAAATAAGTTTGTAAAACTATAACTTTATTCAATGACGTCAGCTTGCTCTGAGTATTGTTGTAGTTGGCAAATTTAAAGTTTCTGTGGTGAGTTTGTATGGGATCCTTTTAATTAGATTTAAAGCTTGTTTTATATTTCTGGTCTTTGCACAGAAATTATGTGATTTGCCTTGCTTTCTTTCTTCTTCTTTTTTATTGTGTGTATGTATGTTATAAGTTATTAACACCTGTAAAACGTTTAATTATATCTATAGAATATGTATTATTTTAACTGATAATTTGCATAATAATGTATTTTGCATAATTAATTAAAATGTATTTTAGATGTTAGTGCAATACCTCTGCATTGTTAAAGATTCAAGCTCTATAGATATTTTATCGATTTTTCTCGCTGTAAACTTTAAAAAGAGTTTCATTCTACATTAAGCATAACAAAATAAGAATATATAGAAAAGCATAATAAAATAAGAATATATATAAAAACAGTTTGCAAAATGAATGCAACAAAAATATGTTTAGACACTTATTTATTTTATCAGAAGTTTATATTAAGGTTGTATTTATGTTTCAGTATTTTTTTTAACTGAAGATTTTTTGTTTTTTATTTATACCAAACGATGTGAATTAATTGGCAGAGTTGCACTCGATTTAAAATTAGATAATTTTCTAGAAAACGATATAAATAGTTATATTTAGTTGATAATAGATAAATAACTATATTTACTTATATTTAATAAGTAATTTTTTTTGTGAGAGAAAATATAGTTGTTTTGTTGTGTTCCCCATAGTTTTTTAATCGAATACATTTTGTCAATTAATTATTTTTACACATCCATTTTGAACGAATAGGTTTTATTAAGAAAATTTCTTTTACAAAAATTATAATAGTTTTCTTTTTTCATATAGAATAAAAATATACAGCATTATTATTTTGTTTTTTATTATATTTTTGTTTTTAGTTTTTTTATTAATTTTATTTGGGATCTTAGTCGTATATTTTAAAACCATATTGAGGATGAAAAGTGAGATAATGTTTTAAAACCATATTGAGGATGAAAAGCGAAATTATGTTTTAAAATCATATTGACTATGGAAAGCGAGATTATTTTTTTATATTTAGAATGAAAAGCGAGATTATGTTTAAAACCATATTGAGAATGAAAAGCGAGATTATGTTTTAAAAATAAATAAAATTAAACAAGATCTAAATCAACATCTAACTCAAAAATTAAAATTGTTATGACGAGATCATTTATACGCTGTATAATCGGTTTCTATTGGTTTTATGAGAAACTATTTTAAATTTAAAAAACACTTGGTCGCGCAACGGTAGTGATTTCTGATTGGCTCATTCTTTTATATCAGTTGTTATATGTGCCCTCGCTGCGCCTATCCCTAAATCAGTCGATGTACGTAAATAGTAAATAGCATTCTAACTTTCAATAAATAATAAAAAGCATAACTTTCAATAAACAGCAACAATATTTAAAACTAAGTATAAAAAATATAAAATTCCTAACAAAGGTTTCGAACACCGGCTACCGCAGTCATTTCTTAAAGTGTTATGTTCAGTGTTAACAATCAACGCCTATTTATCACGAATTTTAAAATTTGTATAATTAACTTTTTTTAAATCAACCAAAAATACTCGCTACCTTGAGCTAATCAGATGTTACCGCCGTGAAATCTAATCAGACTTTACTGCCTACAAAACTAATCAGACTTTACTGCCAGTACGTTGCGTTGCAACGGTACTGTTGTGCAAGGCAAAACTTTTAAAAATTGCAGTTAATTATATATTATAAAAACTAGATGTCTTACTTGCGGGATTTTATTGGACGAAAAATGAAGCCGTTTTTTTTATTTATTGTTGTTTACAAATATAGTCCGCAATTTGTAAAAAATGCAAAAGCTGAAGCCGATATGTGGAATAAAAGTTAATAATGCAAGTCAAAAATTCCTAATAAATTAAAGATAATTCAATATCACTTTTTAATATATATAAAATACTTATAAAAGTTTTTTTTATTAGGCTATGTTTATTAGTTTTATAATTCATAAAAAATGCTTCAAAAGCGTCTGTCGTTTTACTTTTCTATCAAAAACCTTAATCCCTTTCTAATCGAAATTAAATAGAAGAAACATAAATTTTTATTTTTAAGTATTCTAATTTCCTATTAACACTTTTGCATAAATAGTATTTTTATTTAAAACGTATTTACTTCATTTAAGATAAGTTAAACAATACTTGTTTACAAATTTAATCCGCCATTTGTACAAAGCGGTTTTGCTTTTCGGATCAAAGTTAGCTATCTAGTTTATAAAATATATCAATGATGACAGCACATTTGTTAAAAAACCCGATTGATATTATGCGTTAGAATTTAGATTGATAGAATGCGTTATACTTAAAAAAATCAAATGCGTTCATACGAACAATAAAGACCGCAACAAAAGTTTTACAAAAGTGAATGCAAGAGTCAACATTTCGCCTGTAAGCTTTTCTATTAATAAATATTGCGCAAGTAAAGAACAAAAACTAACTTTTTGTTGTTTTAGTCTCAACACCGCCAATGCACGGGTTTTTAGTCTCAGTCCCGTTCCGTAAATTTTCACAAAATTGTTTAGTAAGATAAACATTTGGAATTTAAGTTGGTGATTAATTCGGCTAGAAAGATATTGAGCGTTAAAAATATTTATGTAACAAAGAATTTATATCAAAGAAATATCAATATGTCATATTCTGCTTCTCAATTTTTTTTCTCAAATCTTCTCAAATTCTAGAAATGTTTACTTTTCGAAACAACTTTAAGATAATTTGCGGAACGGAACTGAGACTATAAACTCATGTATTGTCATTTATTGTCGCATAAAAGTTTCTGAGAAAATTAAAGAGCAAATATTAACAAAAGAATAATCTTCTTATCAGCTACTGCTATAAATTACCTGGTGTTACGTTTAAAAATTTTAGTTTTTTTATTGCATAACATCATTTGCACTGGTAACAATGATTAAAAAATCATCGCTTTAATGTTCTTTTCTTTTAATTTCTTTTTTCTTTTAAATTTCCGTTAGAAATAACTACAACTCGTGGCCTACTTAAAATACACGGTCTTATATCCTGCATTTTCGCCGATAAAATAGAAGGCCAGTTTTTTATGCGGTTTTGAATTAAAGATGTTTAGTTAAAAGTTGTATTTGTGAAAAATAAGAAAGGTTACAATATGTTGTTTCGTTTTCTGTTATTTAAACTATTCAAAACGTTATGTAGTTCCAGTTTTTTTGTTTCCATTCAATAAAAATTTAAGAAGCAGATAGGTAAAAATTTTATATAAACAAAACTGGAGCGCCAACGAAGCCATCTGTTATTTGTGCTAAACATTTACAAGAAAAATACTTAGAACATGAAAAGCAAACAATTTCGTTTAATATAGAGTTAAAACTCTTTCCCAACTACATATCCCAATTTTATAGCAAAATCACCAATACCAACATTGTTGGGAAGAATACTATTTGAAAAATATCAATATATGGTCATTGTCAAAATAGTATGGTCAATATATATGGATAGAAATTCTCTAAAAAATGAGTTTACCAGAACTAAAGACGCAGCAAATATTTTAAAATTAGTTTTATATAAAATAGTTAATTGCTGATATTCTATGTCCAAATGAATACCAAGTGAATACCAAATGCTAAAATGCAATGATCATTCTGTATTTTACAATATTCTATAATAAGCTTTTTATCTCAGAAGTCATTCAATGTCATTCAATTCATTCATTCAATGTAATCAACTTGATATGAGTTTACTTAAATCTATTTATAAAAGGCATTTCAGTAATTCAGTGGTTTCGTTGTGTTCAGTTTCATCTCGTGAAAGTATCTTCAAAAAATTTCCAGCTGACAACAAAATTAAGCAAAAAAATATTTATATGTTTTTGAAGAGCTTGAAAGAATAAAAACGATACGTATGTTTATTGAACTATGCTTCCATATCAATATTATACAATGAAATTTTATTATAATCAGTTTCTACATTAACTAAAATTAGCTCTGGTAATATTTATGCAACAAAATCTGCTAAATTGTGATTATTATAAACAGTTTTAAAACGAATATTTTGAAATATTTTATAAATAATTTCTAGAAACGAATCGCTAATAAATTTAAACCACGAACAGTCTCTGAAAACAAAGTTAAAATCTACAATAATCAAGTTAAACAACTACAAGGAGTTTTTTTAAACTCCAATTTAAAATTTAAAAATAAAAAAACTATAAAACAACCCTAATAAAACAAAAAATGTAACTTTTCAAAGAAAACAATAAAAGTAATACTAAAAAAACAATAAAAATCATACTAAAACATAAATAATTTTAAGGCATATATGTACCACATATATATTTACCACGTATGCAACTGATTTTTATTACACGTCTAGAAGGTACTCGATGACAAGACTGACCCCAGTCTTCTGCAAGCTTCCTACAAACAATTAATTATTTTCTTCAATTTTATACAAATCCTGTTTTTATCATACTTTTATATATGTATATATATTTTATTTTAATTGAAAGAATATACAAGGTTTATTTCTTGGGTAATTTTTACGTTCACGTTATTCTATTGTGTACTTTGTATTTATTTTTATCATGTCTCAAAGTTGAATGTAACAATATTTTAGATTTATCCCTTATTTATTTTGGACTTTATGTTTACGATATTTATAATATATCTTTATTCGCCAATCGGTGATTGGTTTATTGTAAATACTTTATAGTTGTAAAATAAACATGTTAAAAAAAAAAAAAAAAATTGTTCTTTACCGAGGAATTTTTAAAAATGAATTACTTTGGCTCTTTGTTTAATAGTTATGGTTCTGCATTTAATAAACAACAACAACAAGCTATATATTTTCCGTAAATCATTTTACAATATATTTGATAATAATGATAATAATAATAATAGTAATAATAGCAAAAATATATAATAATAACATAAGATAAAAAATGTAATTATACAAATTATAGTAATAGTAATAATAAGTATTTTTACAATAATTCAATGAAAAAATAATAATAATAACTAATATTAATATAATAATAAGTTAATGATTTATTAGGATGGTGTCACTAATACAGAAATCTGATCAAAGGAGTGACACCAATTTTTAATATAATATAAGTAATAATAAGCAAAGACACACACTGAAACACATGAATCGTAAACACACAAACCAAAGCACATAAAATATGCATCAAAACAAACATGTAGAAATCAATTTGCAGGTTTTACTAATAAAAAAATAAATAAATAAAGTGCTGATGATAATTGTAATAACTACGAAAAGAAAACTAAAACAGTATTTAAATCATTAGGATAATAATGCTAAAAAGTTAGAATAAAATGTTTTTTAGAATTTTTTTAAATTGATAATGTTTAAGATGGAGTAAAGGTGTTTTAGGATATATTTTTTAAAACTCATTCAAAATGCATGCAAGGCTCCTGTTCCATTTATAGACGCACTGATAAACAATAGAACGTTTACCATACTTTTGGGTTTTAAAATATGGTACATTTAGTTTTCCATTGTGTATATTTCTAGTCGAGTAGGAATGTAATAGTCTACTTTCTGTGAACAAGTTTGTGATAGGAGATGGTATATTTTTATTTAAGGAGTCAAAAACAAAAAGAATATTAGCATACTTTACTAGCGCTGGAAATGCTGGAATGAAAAGATTTGTGAAGGACTTTGATGTATCTGATTTAATTGGTTGGAAGTTTATTAATCTGATGGATTGACGCTGAGACGATAGCAACTTGTTAATGCGATAGTTTCTAACTTGACCCCAAGCTTGACAAATAAATTGCTTTCATGATGTTAAAATGGTTTTAACAGTCTATCAATTTTATAGATTTGCAA